TTAGAATCTGAAAAAGCCTAAGCTTAAGATAAGCATGCACCCTTTTGTCAAAGACTTGACCGAATATCTGTTTCCAAGAACTGACAGTTTTACTCTTCACCCATACTGTGCACAAGCGTATAGTTAGGCATCTGTTAAGGTAAGCATCCAAGGAACAGCGACCCATCTGAGCCTGCTGTTCATTTCTGGACAAGTTTCTCGTTCGGCCTAAATTTTGCTCCGAAGGCTTGCGTTGGTTATGGTGGTTAAAGAAGAAATAAGTATAAATTGTGAGTGCTTACATTAGTCACATAGAGCTGTGATTGTGTAATGCCTATATCCAAAGAAGCGTGGTGCAATCACTTGAGGGAGGATGACTTACTTGGTATAAAACTGAACAAGAGATGTTCTTTGTTCAGAGAAGTGGCACTGTTCTCACAACCACTGTTAAGCACTATGTCTTCATTGTTTGCCGGTTTCATTTTCTGAGAAAGAACAAAAATAGAATAATCTACATTTCCAGACATAAGTGTAGCCAGAAAGGTTCAATAATGATTTTGTCGTTTTATCTTTTGTCGCAAATTAAGGGGTACTCTTACCAAAGTTTTCCATTCAAGTTACAGAAGTTTCAATCTGTTAACTATCGTCAGAATAAACAGTTCGGTCACGAAACGTTTGCTACCTGTGATAAAACGTAAAGTTAAGTGCTTAAAAAAAAATTTAGTTAAAGAGCCCTTGTTGCCGTGCAATGAGTGAGCTTGACATTCAGATATGACTATATGCTTGGAAATTAAAACTGAGCTATTCCTGATTCAAGAACAATCTCATACTCACTCCCAGTCTTGTGTTAACACATTTTTTGCTTGCAACGTGTTGAAGAGATCCTCCAGCAGTGAAACTAAACTGATGTCCCCCACATGATGAAAATAAACCAAGAACTACACCATCTTTAATGGCTCCCATTGGCCGTACACATTTCCCACTCTTGGTGTGTTTCAGGTTACCATTTTGAAGGACAAATTCTAATCTATTTAACAGAAGTGCCAAACTAGATTTCAGAGCAACCCATATAATAAAGATTTTCTAAGGACCAGCAACATGTTCTTGTTATGAAGGTGACATACAGAAGCGAGAGTCTTCTCCATACATGAACCTTCTAAGTACTGTTTTTCTGCGAAAGAATGACCCCTCTAATAAGAATGGGAGCTTAGCTCATCCAAACCAATGGGCAAGAAAAAGATGTTTAAGATAATTTTTTTTTTTAATGTTAGAGGTATTACCTGTCAAGACTACACCCTTCCTAAATAACCAACTTGTTGCCCTCAGCTACATTGTTCCCTCCCCCTTGAGGATGAATACACTTCAGTGAACCAAGATGAACGAGAGAGCCAGCACCATTTAAGCTCGTCTTACCTAAAGAGAAAAATTTAGAGTATCTTTGCTTTTCTCAGAAGTGTAGATATTTTCAGTTACAAGTAGAATGTAGATCGAATATAATGCAGATGACCTCTTACCAACTGTCCAACATTGATCAGATCTTCGCCTTTTGAGAGTTCGAACAGTCAAGTCACATTGGAAGCTTTGATCATCTTTAGAAGGATCGCACTTACTCTGTATCAGTTTCGAGCCCGTGGAGGCTCCGTTTGAATCAATGCACAACTTGGAAAATGAGTTCTTTTAATGAAACAAAAGAAAATTAATCTAAAAACATACTTAATGAGCTTTTTACTTTATCAACGATGTATTCCGCCACTCTAGTCTTGGGATTATATGTTTTTTTTTCGCACTGTCCCAATGGACTGCCCCGATGAAATCCAAATTATCAAATCTGTTCGAGGAGAAAATGACGCTTTATGCCGTGCGCTCATAGTGACTCTCTTAAACCCTACGCCTCTACGGCATCGGGTAACCATTTTCTCGGGGAGCAAAATCCTACTTCCTTCACTGTTAGCTGTAATCACGGTTTGGATTAGGTTTGGATACCTACCATAATCTGTCCTTTAAGAGTGTAAGCCCAGTTCTGTTTTGCGTCAGTGTCATTGCAGCCTGTTACTTTGATAAGAGCGCCGTCATTTTTAGAGTCCACGTACAAACAGGCTCCGCGTCTGTCGTCTGTGGCTGATTGCTGATTTTCAATCAAGAATATTTCTGAAAAAAAAAAAAAACCGGTAACGTTGGTAGTTATTGCACTCCTTGAGCTTTTAAACAACCCATTTAATTTTGTACATGAGTGCCCGAAACTGAAACTGCGGAGAAATGTTTTGAAACACCTGTGGAGTAATAGTATTGTGGAGTATCACTGTAGAGTTACAAGGTATTAAGATTGAGTTTTCTCAACATCGTTTCTAAGGGGAGGGGATCCTAAAGTGCATTATTACCCACTGATATGAAAAGAGTACCATAATAAAACTGAGGGCTGAAATTCCAGGCCCCGGTTGTTCGATAAATCTCCATCCCGTGGAGAGTGCAGTACGTTTTGGTAACACTTATCCACTAAGTAACGATTTATCTGTTGGTTAGCGTTATCAGCTCTTTGG